TATGTAAGCAGATGAACTTTCTTTCAAACAATCTGAACATCGAACAAACTCTCCACCAGTGTGGATAGCATTAAACTCAACTAATGTATACTCTCCAATTTGATACACTTGTGAGAATTTTGAAATCATAACACCACCAGAACTTCCATATATTAAGCATTCAGAGCTTGCCAAACATTCTTGATTAGACGAATCGTAACGAAAGTTTTCATCTTTTTCTACAAATCCATTTTCTGACAATTTGTATGGGTGCATAATCGTCCCAACACTTGCACATAACTTTCCGTAGCCATTAAAGATATTGTCCTTCAAAAAGGATTCACTTGGAGCCCAATCAACATAAGTAAGGCTACTAGAATAAGGAGGTTGTTGATGCTTGTCTCCTGGATAAGAAAGAGAAATAATTTCATCATTAGGTTGCAAAATTCTTGGAGAAGGAATGAAAAAAACCTTATTACCAAGAGAACCAGTAGTAAAGTCCATTGCGGTGACATCAAAGTAATCAAAGTCTCCTACTTTGGTAGTGATAGGATCTCTTCCAACCCAACTATAAGTGACCGGAAATAAATTACCCAATTGGGAATCTTTGATAGTTTTCCCAGAATGCAAGGTTCTGATCCTGGTAGGCAAAATTGTTGAATTGCTATTGTTCCATGCATTGCTGAATGCAGTTATTTTACCACCAATTCTCTCAAGTTCAGCTTCAACATGACTATTTGTAATAATTGTGTTGGGAAGAATGTAAAATCCAGAGCCTGAACTTCTAATAAAAGCGTTGTTACCAGTTTTTCTTGTGGAACTTAATCTAACAACAGCACTAGTACCTTCCGAAGCACTTGGTAATGATTTGAGAGTATCATAATATTCTATTAGATACTTGCAGATAGGTGGTGTCCATGTTGGTTGTTGATACCAAAAAACGTTAAAGCAAGCATTGGATGGATAATGGTTCTTACCAGGAGTCTTCTGGAAAGTTTGAGAAGTGTTATCACCAACCGCCTCACCACTGAAAGGAATGTAACAGGTAACGACTTCAAGACGCTCTCTGACGAATCTCATTTTTTTTAAGGTTCCTTAATGAAGATTAGCTGGTTTTAAGGGAAAAGATGTTGAATTCATTCCGAATGTTTATGATATGGAATACATGTACCTATCATCATGATAACCAATAGGAAAATATTCGGAAGTGATTTTATCTGATGGGATCGACCATGCTGAACAATACTAGATTGAAAGTTTTCCAAATTATCATGTGAATCTGATTTTAGTGGCAATATAAAATTATTTAAATCATGATGAGATGATGTGGTGAAATTCTTGGAGTTAATAGATGTGAAATTACACCAAGAATCAACAGAGGTATGATGTACTTGATGAAGTGAATTATTGGAATGGCTACTGTGAGAGTGATTCCATTTGTGATACTGAGATATTCACAAGATCCAAAGGATTATGTAGATGCTAGAAAATATGGTGTTGACTCTTCTAAAAGAATTTCTTTGTAATTTTAATAACAAATATCCCACATATGTTGGAATTTTGGTCTTTTTCAAAAAACCAATCGCAATTTTCATCTGGAGATCTCCAATTTCATTAAGCGAATGAAACTATTCGTAAAATTCAAGTGGCAATTTTCGCCAATCGTCGATCGCCAAAATGTGTATACTCATTGTAGACCAGAGACGTTAATAAATATTACAATTTAGAGTTTTCTGATTCGATAATCTCTTTGAAGCAAATCGAATTGCTTTTCCATCATTCGTTACAGCTGCCAAGACAATCTCTTCACAATCTTTGAGTTTTGGAGAGGCATACATAAGGGCAGATCCATTTTTTGTTACGGCTGTCAAAACAAGTTCCTTATCTGCCTTGAATTCTTCACTTGCAAATCTGAGACAAAATCCACAGTGTGAAAGAGCCTCTTTAAGAAGCTCTCTGTCGTCTTTGAAAATGGTCTTCTCCAAAAGGTCCGGATTAAATTGCAGAATTGATTTGAAATCCTCTCTGTCACTCTCTATTATTTTGTAAAGAGATTGAACTTTGGATGTAAAATAAGGCGTTCTTGCAGCTAGGAAAAAGCATTCTCTATCCTTTTGGATTGCCTCTGGCATTTCGTTAATATACTTTCCGTTACTTTTCAATATTGTGAGAACTAGTTCTCTATTATTAAGCAGAAAATCACTATTGATATAATGTAGAATCGTGAAGTTTGATTTAAATAGTGCCTTTTTCACAATATCTTCATCTTCCTTGAATTTTCCAATATATTGAAAAGAACTTGCTGCATCTATGTCAATAATCATGTCAATAATTTCTCTATCAGTCCGTATTTCCTCAGAACAGTTTCTTATTAAACATACATCACTCTTCAATGCCTCAATCATAAAAACCCTATCACTCCACCATTTTCCTATTGGAGAAGCATAAAACAGAATGATG